TCTCCCTCACTCCTTGCCGTTCCCTTCTTATATTTGTTTATAAAAAGAATCTCGTGGGCCTTTGGTCGCTACCTAAATAATGAACCCTTCTCTCTGTATGTTTCCGTTGTTGCACTAAGTTTTGCTCCTCGTGTTTTCTGCTCGTCCCTTCCTATGTGTATGTAAGCGAATGCGCATCCATGCATATAAATTACATGTGTAGGCAAAACAAGTGAAGAAGAGTGAAGGCGTCAAATGCAATATCATCATCAATACCGCAGCAGCAGCAGGTGTCAAGACGTCCAATGAACCACGCATACACAACAATACCCATCCGCACCCTCAGCCAGCGTCATCGCTATCAGGCAGTGAAAAGCGCCAAATGGGGAGCATCACCACAGCAACGGGGAGGGAGGGTGTGGGAAAGGGGGTGCGCACAGAGAAACAAAGGAAGACTTGATATCAAGAGCAAAAGAGGGGAAAAAAGCAACCCCAATGATGAGTGCTGCATCGCAGAATAGTTAAGTGGCACAGTACTTTTAAGTGTCGTTCTCACACGCCCACGTACAGAGGCAGACAAGCACACTCGCGCAGCCCCACCCTCATCCCATCCCTAACCCCGTGCCACCATCACCAAATCTCCTCACACTCGGTAGAAGCAGTGATCAGTGGTGGAACTATGCGAATGAAACCTGAGAAACGGGATGCGAAATAATAATAATAATAAAAGTGGCGGCTACTTGAAAGAAAGAGAAAAAAGGTCGATATATCAGGCGCACACAACACCAACAAGGTGCGTCAATGGTAAACGCACACAAGCGCGCGCACGCCCATCTGTGCGGCGTGAGAAAAGAAAAAAAAATGCGGGACTGGAAGAGGGCCATGGAGACAGACCAACAGCAAGCCTAAATCTCACTACGAGGCACGATAGCTCTTCTCTTTGGCGACGCCGTTCTCCCACCACTCATTCGGCAGAGGCATAATGACACCTGCCCTGCGCGCCTCCACAAGTGCGGCAAAGGCAGCTCGCTCCTCCTCCGCAGCCGCAGCTGCAACCGACCGCAACGGTGTGACAGTGTCATTAGTCTCCTCCTCCTCGTCCTCCCTCTCCTCCGTCATCTGTGCTCGGTAGCTAGCCTTGAGGAATCGCACCACCTCTTCACATCGCACCGCGTCCGTGGCGGCGGAGACGGTGTCTACTTGGTGCAACGACTGGAGAACAAAAGGTTCAAGGAGCTCGGAGTAGAGGTAGTACATGTCCTGCAGCTCCTGTAGGTAGGGCACGAAGCCCTCATATTCCGTGTCAGCGGGTGTCCTCCTTAATGTTCCTGGTGCAGAATGGCTCAGTGGCAATGGCGCCTGCACATGATATGTGTCATTTTCGTCATGATTTCGAACTTCGAATTCATCATTTTTGTTGGGGGAGCGCCGACTGACGCTACGCTGATACTTGGCGCTGTGCCGCACTTCTCCCGGGTGACGCAGGAGAAGGGCAAGCTCCCAGAAGAGTTCTCGTATCGTTTGCAAGTGTTTCGCGAAGACACCGAGGCGCAGCACGCTGGAGATAGCCTCTGTCCACTCCAGAGAAAGCTCCCCCCACTCGCGTCGGCTCTCCTCTCGCGCCTCACAGAGGGCCTCCATGATGGTCGTCTGCAGCACCTCTACGGGGCACGACTCGCCAAGAAGGCTGATTTCGCACGAACTGTTGGTGTACGGTTTCACAAGAGAGCAATATAGCGTAGGGCAGGTACCACCAACACGAAACACATGCAGAACATCGCAGCCTAATGCCGCACTAATGTCACGCAGACTCACACACAGCAGCTCTGTTGCTTTAGCGAGTGAGAGCGCCTCACTGTCTGAATCAGAGGCGTCGTTGTCCTTGCCATCATTGTTGCCCTTGTGGCTGCCTGTATCTGACTTGCTGCGGTACGATCCTACGATACCAGGCGAGGCCTTCGCCGCACTGTCACAGACGTCCTCACCATCCTGAACCAGAGACAGCGAGATGCGCACCACCATGCCCCCTCGCATTGTGTGTCCATACGGTGAGTCAAGGTAAGCCAGGCAATCCGCGTGACGCTGTTTGAGTTCCTTGTAGACAGCCAGAAAGTGCTGAAACCTCTTGATAATTTTGTACGGTTTGCCCTTCAGTAAAGGACTGATGGGCAACTTTTCCCACTCATCCTTTGCGGTCAACCACATCTGAACAATATGGTTAGCCCTCAGTACTACATCGTGTGTCAATTTTTCCGGCCCTGACGAAGTACCACGTTGTGTTATCACATTGGAATTACCATTTGAACACAAGTTGCTTTCTGGTTTATTTTTTTCGCACTGCTCATGCTCCTGTGGTAACGCCTTGGGAGGAATTGGCGGTGCTTCGCTCAAGATCTCTTCATGGAAATGTTGAATTGGTTCAGTGGCGGCGTCTTTACGCTGTATACGTCCCTCCTGGGCATCACACAAGCGTTGCTCCGCACTGTTCTGCTCTTCATACTGTGTACACTTGTCGCGCCGCCCATGCAGTGGCACCATGGGTGTATTCGCTTCTGTCAACGACCCATAGGCATCCGTACCGCCCGAATCAGCACAATCATCCGGTTCATAGACATGGCCCTGCACAACCTCTTCCACCAGCTCCTGTGGTAACTCCCTGGCGGGTTCTGGGGGCACCTCCATCATGGGTTGTTCTTGTGCATGATCACCTTTGTTTTGGCTTGTCGGCGTGGAGGCCTCATCGCCATGGAGGTCAAGTTGGGAGCTGGCATCTGAATTACCAGGCTTGTCCTGTTGACAACGCGGTTTACGCATTTTCATTAGATCGACTGCCTTCTGAGAGAGCGTGCTTTCTGAATGTGAAAGTGTGCCTGGCGGCCCACTTTGCCCGGGTCTCGCCTCATCTTTCCGCGAGTCACAACTTTCGGCCTCTACCCATTGTTCCACCTGTCGAGGATGGGAAAAACTTATTTCCACATTGCTTTGGCGTGAGGAGGCGTCTCTGAGCTCTACTGGTGTAATCGAATGGGGCAACGACGATCCCGTTGGAGTCTCAAGACCTCGGTTCTCTTCAGGGGGTGAATGGCCCTGTCCTGTCCTTGCAGAAGCGTCCTCTGAGATTTGTGTTGAAGCGTGGTGGTGTGGATTTTGCACCTGCATGGTCTTGGTTCCCTCATTCTCCGGTTTTGTGGAGGATAAAAGAGAGTCTACAAGGGATGCGGCTACAGGAGCATCCCCAGGAGTTGCAGGGTCTTTGGGGCCTGACACCCCGCTCATACCCACGGCCTTCAGAGGACAAAGCAGTGTCCTCGGCTTCAGTGGCTTTGCCATCAGCACCATGTCGCCTTTCAGTGTCTGTGGGGAGTACGTGCGAAAACTGGCGGGGCTGTGTGGTTCAGCACTCTGACTGACACGCTGTGGCGACGGTTCATGCACTCTTGGCGGTTTTCCCTTTTGGGCACCGCCGTCTTTTCTCATAGGAGACGTAAGCGATCGTGGCAGCAGGCCAGAGAGATCTGTTGGGCGTGGCGAAACGTCTGCATCATTCTGACTACTTTCGCGTGGCCTGTAGGGCTGCTTTGCGCCGCCGGTCCGCCTGTGCGTAGAGGTGGAACGGCTTCGGAGTGCGAGTATCTCTGGCATGGGGCCGCTGCCACGCCCTTGCAGGTTCGGTGGAGCTCCGGGCTGCACGACCAGGCGAATGCGCGTCTGGTCCGTCACCAATCCGCACTCCACCATGCCGTCGTCGATGCCAATCACCGTAACGTGCAGATCACCGTAGTCGTGGTTTTTGAACTCGAACTCCTCCCCGACACTTACGGCGCGACAGCCGCGCAGAAAGAAGGGTGCAATGAAGTGACGCATATACTTATCGAAGGAGAGCTCCTCCCCTACGCTACCCGCGGTCAGGGCGAATACAATTGTCGACGCACCCGCTCCAACGGACCTTTCCTCGTGGCACTCCAAGCGGACTGCGGCACCTTCCTCCGCACCCAGGAGGCGCATCGTGTTAACAGACACCACCGCAGCATCCCTGAAGAACTGAATGAGATGTGCATCGAGGGCGGTATCGGTGTGTGAGGACATCCTCGGCCAGTTCTTCGAGACAGGCTTACACGTGATGATCGGCGTCATGGGAGCGAGAAGACCACTGCCACTAGAAGTATCAACGCCAGCACTCGCTGTCGAGGCACCGGTGGAAACCCGAAGTGAATTGCTGTGGGTGGCGCTGCTGCCGCGTGAAGCCGCGGGTGACAGCACATAGGCAGCCCTTGCCCTGGGTGTGTTTTTACTCCCCACGGCATCCACGAGCTTGAGGGTGACAAAGCCGCTGGAAGATGGAAACGCAAGTGAAAGTGTTCCAGCGTCCATGAGAACAGCGTCGTTGATGCAAGTGGTTGTAGATTCGCTTTCTTTCACATGCTGCATCGCATCACCACCGGCAGCTGCCACCAAAGTGTCGTACTGCTCCTTTGTTGGGGGCGTCATAGTGCCATTGCCGCCCAAGATCTTTCCTGCATAGGCTGTGTACCCTTGTACGGAGAATATTGGAACCTCCATATTTATCCTTTTTGTATTGTTGTTGTTATTTTTCTTCTCGTTGCCCCTTTGAATTGCTCGTTTTCTCTCGGAAGAATAACAGAAAACTCCTCACTCAGATGTGTTGTTGATAAATAAAGCGAGCAAGCCCAAGAGCTGGAAAGAGAAAAAGCGGTTTGAGTTTTCCTCAAGCGCCTGCTTCTTCTCTCGTCCCCTCGCCCCACCCTTGTCGTGGTCGCTGTATGTTCCCTAGTATGGACCCAGCTGCAGGCAGGGAGAAAAGCGAAGGGAAGAGCAAGCAAACGAACTACACAACCCCAGCGAAAGAGGAGGGGGAGGGGGCAGGGTAGAATCAAACACAGTGCGTGAGTGAGGAGTGAAATGGTGAACGGCGCCACATTCCGTCACCCTCTGTCTTCGCCCCATCAGCGGTGCACAAGACACCGCACCCCACACACCTCGCACACAGGGAGAGAGCGAGGGAGGCACAGAGACACATACCCAACACCTCCTAAGATCCATCAGCAGCAAGGGTTGTGTCATTCCATCCTTTCCGCAGCAGCAAGAACAACAGCCACCCCCACCCAACAAAGTTACCATCTACTTCTTCTTTTTTTCCTTTTTTTTGCGCTGCTCGCTGGCCCCTGTACTTTCGGAATCTGCTGAGGGCTGCGCGGAAGTCGACATGAGCTGCGTCATCTCCTTCGCCGCCTGCTCGTACCGTTTCGCGATGAACGCGTCCGGTTCGAAGCGGTGCATCCACGCGTCGAGGATGCCGGCAATATCGCGCGCCGCCGTGTCGTGGAAAAGCTCCGCGTGGCACTTGCACCCCTTCACCACCGCCGGCCGGCGCAGGCCGAACAAATCCCTGTGTACCGCCGCCTCTGCCAGCGCCGCGTCGGCGGGCAGGACGAGCTGGAGCGGGTGCCGCAC